ATGACTTTCTGTAGTTTGCCTAACTCAAAAGCCGATTTTCACTGGAAAGGAAAGGACTTGTACTGTTTTAAACATGTCTGCATTTTATTACCTATTTAAGTGTGTGGCGGCGTGCCTGGGTTGAATTTAAGTGAGTCTCAGAGATGTCTGGACCTGGATCCTGGTGGGGCAGGTAGTGGGGAGCCCAGAGGAGAGGCTTCTAGAAAAGGAACTCTACCTTGTGTCCTCTGCTGGGCTCAGATATGCCTGTGCAAGTCTGGGGAGCAAGTGTGGTAGCCACAGGGGTCCATTTACAAGGGGGCTGAGGACCTTCCAGGGATGATATTTATCCAAGTGGAGGAAGAAGCCAGGTTGGTTGAGCTCAACCCAGGGGCAAGCTTTGCCTCACACAGGGGAGGGAACAAGCATTCTGATGCAGTGTGATGGCTGTTCCCCCAGTCCATCTCCTGCCCCCCGGGATGCATACTTGGCTCCTGAGTAGAGAAGGGGGCCAGCTTTTCTGCACAGAACATCTAACCAAGGGGAAAGAGCAGAGGGCGCTCTGCCTTTCTGAAGGGTGGTGGATGCCTGCTGAGAACTGCTGACCCAAGAGATTCAGGCCCAGTGGAGAGATGCAGGAGCAGCTGGACCTGATGGGGATGGGAGGGAGGTGGGGTGAGGGTGACCGCATAGCAGAAATGCCCGATAGAGGCTGGGAGACTCCCCTTGGCAATTTCCAGAATTAGATGCAAGGGACTTGGCAGGAAGTCAGAAGTCCTGCATCCATGGCAGCTACAAACCGGCAGATGCTTTGCCTCTCCAGGCTGGTGGGTCGGAGGGAAATTTGGGTCACATGTAAATGAACAAAGGAACCGGCATGGCTGCCAAAGTCAGTTCGGAAGCTCAGCAGGTTTATTTACGTCGTATTGATTTGATTATTCTAAACCTAAGTTGAATTAGAACTGCTGCTAATTTGGAGACCAAGTGCTCGTTTTGCAAACATGCTCCGATATTTTATAGTAACTCACAGGTACCAATGAGCCGTGGAGGATGCAGGAATAGGGAACACTGTCTGCTTTCTCTTTGTAGAGAGATATTGGTGCCTTAAGAAACACCCACTGGAGTTTTCATAAATAAAACATAGCAAAGAAACGCCCAGGAGGGCAGTTTTCCCTCTAGTGTGAAAGGAATTAGTGTAGTCGACAGAAAAGGAAGCTGTGTGTGAAACCACAGAGCATAGCACAGGGTTTTCACTCTGGGGGTCAGGATATTAAAGATGCAGAATCCAGTAGTGAGATCGCAGGGGGGTGTCCAGAGGGGGTGGTCACACACCTTTAATCTGTAGGCTGCAATGTTGTTTTCCTAATGTCTATGTGTATGATCTTTCCCATATAAATACATGTTTTATAATGCATAGATAAATAAGGCGAAATACCAATGCTTCCTTCCTTCAGCCATCATGTAGATGAAGAACAATGAAAAGCAGGACACATAAAAAGTTACAGCACAGAACGGGACAGTGAATTAGACAACAGTCTCTTCTAGATTGTGGGGCTGATGTTTTCCTGACTCAGAGCTTCTGTCCTGCCTTGAGTCCCTTATTAGTGATAGAATGTTACATCATGGACTGAGGCAAAGAGCATGTTCACAATTCTGTGTGTGTCCAATTTTGTGGGACTGGGACCCTCAGTGCAGCAGCCCCTCTCCCACGATGGAGGTCCCTGTGATCACCACTGCTTCTCAGCAGGCCTCCCGGTTTGTCTCAGGGAGAGGCGTCTGGCAATAACTGAGACCCTGCCCAGACCTGGTGGGGCTGGAGATTAATCAGCTACAGACCAACCAGCGGGGAGCCCTTCTAGTCATTTTAACTGTCCTGACCATTGATTTAGGACACTCACTGTGGCTCCAATTAATTTTGTTCATTTTGAAAAAACAAAAAACAGCCAAGAGCGGTCATGTTGCTGAAATATTGGTATTCTGATCCCATTCTTATTGTTTTCATTCCTAGGAAGCCTGCTATAGTATATTTCTTGGTCTTAAAGTCACATAGGCTCTGCATTTTTGTTAGCTAGCAGTGATAGAAAATGCTCCTGTGTTTTAGTGCTGGCTTCACTCTTTTCTGAAGCTTGCATCACGTGAGACTGTTTCTGTCAGAAGCTACGCTTGGCACAGTCTTCGTATCGGGTTTCTGAGACTGCTGTCAAAACCAGAAACACCCCCTGAGGTTTGCTTCTGCTTTTCCTTTTTGTGTGTGTGAAGTTTAATAAAAACACTTTGTGTGCAGTATGGGTTTCCCTACCATTTTGCCCTGAGTTAAGAACATACATTAAATAGATTACACAAGGAATAGAAAGTTCCCATCTTATTTTATTCTGACCTGATGTAAAAAGAGAGGCACGTTCTAGTAATCTGGCTGTGAAAAACCTCCACAAATAGGTTCTTGGCTTTAATCATAAGTGCTATAGGGACATTGCTGTTGTACACATTGCATAGATGCCCCCAAAGCTGCAAAGAATGCCATAAGCCATTTAACCTAAAAGGCATCCAACAGAACATACAGGGACACCAGAAGTTGAAGGGCAAATTGAAGGAGCGGGGAGTAGATGAGCAGGACTACTATTGCTAAGGCCAGCAGACGTGTAACTCACGAACCGCGCATTCCGAGGAGGGCGGTGCTGTGCTTCTGAAATCTTTCCCCAACATACATTTTACCCTGAAACACTGTCTGAGGACATGGTCCAGTGCCTCCTAGTTCAGTGCCGAGTATTGGAATTTTATTCCGTTATACTTTACTTCTTTCCAAAAGATTTGAATGACTACAATGAAACTGAAGGTGAGATTATGTCCATTCCTTCTGAAACCGAGCACGAAGAGGTTAAAAAGTCTTCCCTGGGCTAGAAGAAGAGAGCAAGAACTTGGAGATAAGCTTTGCTAACTGCAGCTGTGCATATTCAGCATAATCAACTGTTGTTCAAAACTAACGAGGTCTTTCTGTCCCTCCTTAGTATATAGTGAGCTGTCTTTCCCAGGAAATCAAGGTCCAGACATCAAGATTCAGCCTCACAGGGCCAAACGCAGGCTGAAGATGAAAACTAACTGGAAAAGTCCAGACAGTCAAGGGAAAGAAACTCAGTCTTCAAGGCCAAATGCAAGCTGGTGGGAAGGTGCCAGCCAGCACGTCCACATTCTCCCCCTCCCTTACCTAAAATCCCAGCACTTGCTCTCCCTCCCTTACCTAAAGCCCCAGCACTTGCTCTCCCTCCCTTACCTAAAACCCCAGCACATGCTCTCCCTCCCTTACCTAAAGCCCCAGCACTTGCTCTCTCTCACAACTTTTAAAACCCCTTGCCTCCCATCTTTCGGGGATCTGGGACAAATTCGAGAGCTCTTGTCTCTCAGCTGACGTCACCCGAAATAAAAACTCTTTCCTTGCCATAAGCCTGGGGTTCTAGTTTTATTTGGACCCTCTTGTGTGGCAGGTAAAGGACCTGGGTATGTACCCGGTAACACTTCTACTTCTGTGACATTTGATCTAACGGGCAAATTTTCCTCCTCTGTGAATTGGGGATCCAACTTAGACTGTCTGGCCCATGAGCATTGCTCGGGTGAGCTAATAGCTCCGGAATACCGGTAAATTGTGAAGAGGCACACCCATGAAACACTGTTGATGGGCTAGAGACCTGTGGCCTTTAGATCAATGGTATGTCGGAACTACATCGTCATTGGGCTCTACTCAAGAACAGAGGAGTTTTAGTAACACCCCTACGTTCCCTGAACACATGGGTGTCAGGTGTGGAATGCCCTTTCTCCCACATTCCATGAGCATATTAGTGTCAGGTGTGGAATGACCTTGCTCCGATAGTTCATGAGCATATTTGTGTCAGGTGTGGAATGGCCTTTCTTCTATGTTCCACGAGCACATTGGTGTCAGGTGTGGAATGGCCTTTCTTCTATGTTCCATGAGCACACTGGTGTCAGGTGTGGAATGGCCTTTCTCCTACATTCTCTGAGCACATTGGTGTCAGGTATGGAATCGCCTTGCTGAGTTCTTTGAGTGGCCCTCAGTGTCCTGGATGCCCCTGAAACTGCCCGGAATGGGATATAAAAGAAACCAGAAACATAGTTTGATTTTAAATCAAAAGTTATGATTTTATTTTTAATATATCAGAAAAAATATTTCTTTTAATGTTGTGAAATAAGCACTTGTAGATAACAATTCCAACATCACTGTGATTTGCTCTGTGAGGCTTATATGGGTGGGCTTAATCTGAACACAGGCTCTGGGGCCCCTAAGAGGCTGCGTCTTCCAGTGGTTTTTAAGGTAGCAGCACCAACCTCCTGTCTGAACTTCCCCGGACAGGCAGACCTGTCTGAACTGACACGCCTGGGCAGCGTGATGAGGCTACTTCTGGAGCCTTCTTGATTTCTGTCCACTGGGAGAAAAAGTCTCATGTGCCGCCAAGCATTGGGAAAATAACAGCGTTTAGATACCAGCGTGAGTCAGGACCCCTCAACCCTGGCCTAAATGGGTTGCAAATATGGCTTGACCCTGATTTATGGGAGCAGGTGCTTCAGGAGAACTTGACTACAACATGGTTTTGCGATTGGAGTTTCAGTGAAGTACATCTGATTGTAAGACTTCTGCCCACCCAAAATAAAACCAAAATGCCGTTATGGAGACCTCCCAAACCCACGTGGGTGTGCTCTCACTGTCTCTCTCTTTAGTGCTAGAGCAGCTTGTTTCACTTTTTTAAAAAAAGTATAATTCAGGAGGAAGGGAAGCCTAGGAATTATTTTCCCCCCTCTGCTAGCCTTGAAATTCTCAAAGTATCTGAGGATGAGGAGAGTAACTTGAGGAGTCAACAGGCTTGTGACTAGTCTTCAACGCTCTGCACAGGTGTACTTAACTGGCCTCTTTAGCTCTGGGTTCTGCCATATGGCTCAAGGATGTTTATAATTGGAGTGTCACAGCTGGCCTTCAAGAAAATCCTGTCACCACCCTGACACTTGTTCTGCTGTAGTATCGGGTACCAGCATAGAGGAGCTATGGGTTCATTGGAAAACTGGGACCTAACACTTCATGCTGATTGTCGGCACCAAAGAAGAGTAGGGTTGCTTTATCAGCTCTCACTTTAATGTGGATACACGACAGGCCAAGCCCTGTGGTGCATCCTTAGCAAAATCTCTTCCTGATGTTACTGGGTCTGAGGCACAGAGTCAGGTCTTGTACATAAATATAAAAGGGACAGAAGAAAGACTTTAAAAAGCTGCAGGAGACAATGACTCACAGCATGAACACAGGCTCTCCCATCACCCTCATTGTTGGCAGAATATTTATTATCAAAAACAAAAAGATTGGACTACTGGAAAGTTCTGGGCTTTCATCATGAAATTATCACATAATTGTACTTTTCAGGAGGGAAATTTTTTCAGGGAATAAGTGTCTAAAAGAAACAGACATGGAACACACACATACAACCAACACACTGAATTCCAGGAGGCAAGTTTTCTCCACTTGAACCGCTCTCTTGAATCAGCTCGTGGCTGATCCAACAACTGTGTAAAAGAATCATTAACCCAACTGGAAAAAAGCCCTCAGAACGTGCTGGAGCTAACTTAGTTGTGTGACACATGCAGTCTGAGAGGCTGTTCTATCAGAAGAGATAGCAACCTGAGCACGTTGTCTCTCCCAGGCAACTCAGCAGTCTGGGAACGAGGCCAGGCTTCTGGAACACTCTACTCCAGTGTAATTGACTCCAGGTACTTTGTTACTCTGATGTGACAGCTTTTATCTGCTCATAAAGATACCACATCAGATTTTTAAAAAAATTCTGTGGGTCTCTCTCTGAGAAGTGTTCTTCCATTCGATTCTACAAAAACCCCACTCAAATGAAGTCTCTGACCCGGTGCAGAGCTCCGTTAGCAGAGAGGTTGAGAAGTGAGGGAGATGTGATCAATCCTTTCTTTCCCCTTAAGCAACATATACGTATGTATTGTCCCTCCCCCCTAATTTTTGTAGTGGAAGGATGGCAGTAAATGACCTGAAATAACCTCAATACATGATTTTAATTTGGTACTTTGGCCTGGCATTGGATATGAATGATAGTAGTTGCTCTTTTCTCATTAGCAAAACTAGAAGGTTCAGATAAAATCTCCTGCTCTATGAACACAGCATTTCTTACTAGAATGTTTTTCCTTGCAAACTCATAGACATGGGTTGACGCTCAGACCTGATGTATTAAATTGCAGGTACTTATTCGTGAAATGAATGATTTGGGTTTTTTTTTCAACCCGGGAATGTTTTCGCCATACTGGAATTGGAATGCAGTGGAAAATCTTCGATAGAAAGATAATCTATTGCAGCATAGTGGGGCAGCTATAAAAACTTGCCTGCCGAAGTTTTTCTGGAATGTTAACTGACAGCAGGATTACCTATGTGGCAGTCAATTCTCTGGTAGGTTTCAGATTTGCTATGGGCTAGTGGTCCAGCCTCATATCTTGATAAAATTAAGCAGTTAAGCTGAGATGTTAAAATCATTGTCTGGACTTGTAACACCAGAATTTTGTTTTTTTCAATGTGTGGTTTTTCTCCTCCCATGATAAACATTGGAAATATCTTTAGCTAATTTAAAAACTATTTATTATACAGTCAACCTGTAAACAAAAATTCTAAATTATCTCACCAGTGAACACAAGCACGAACCTGTATCAAGATGAAAGTGCTTTGGAAGCATCATTTTGAGTCTATTTAAGGTCTATGCCCATTCCTTCACTCTAACCTGCAATAAAGGATCAATGACAAATCAATAGATTAAATAAGTAAATTAAATCAACCAGAGGAGCACTAACTGTTCCTTCAATTAAACTTAAGTCAGCTCTTATTTGGCCTTTTCCTCAATTTAATTATTCTGTCCATTTTCGGTTATAAGAACAAAAAAGCTTATTGCACAGTATCATGTATTTTCAAAGCTCAAAATAACAGTATTTGCATCTTCAGAATCTATTAGTTGTTATAGCAGGACCCACTTTTTCAGCTCATGTCAGTTTTTGCCACAATAATAATAAAATAATAATAATAATACATTCCTCCATCAATTGCTGCTCATCTATGAACAAATCAAGACATCAGAGACTGTTCACAATAATTTAACAGATGCGGCAGCTCCCCCCCTGCAAACCCCGCCCCCCCCCGGGCTATCAGCCCTGACTTGGTCTGCATGGATTCTTTGTTCACTGTTCAAACCATTCACACAGAATGGAGTAAAACTTTATTCTTTTAAATTCACACATAGACGAGATGCTGAGAAAGCCCTTGTCATCTCTGACAGAGAAGCAGAGCAGCTCTGTTTCATGAATGACAGCACAATTAAAGCTAAAATAATATAAAAATAATTTGAAAAATCCCTTTTACTGTACACTCTCAAATAAAGCAAGAAGGATAAACGACAGTTTCTTTTTCTGCTAGCCAGAAAACGTGTTTCTATTCATTTGGGCTTTGAAATTGGGTGCACCCCACGTCGGAGTGCATACGTGTGTAGTTCTGTGTGTAGAATCTATGCAGGGTGGTAGCTCCTAATCTTATCACCTAGTTTGTCTAATCCTTAAGCTACTTAACCAATTAGAATACTATTATATCACATTGAACAACTTTACGTAATCGCTTCTTTGAAATACTAGGAACATTTACACATTTATTTGGCTTGTAAAGGACTGAAATATTACACGTACTATTATATTATCTAGCTTTCTTTTTATTTCTTTAAAGAATATGGCTCTTAGTAAGTTGATTTTCTGAGTTCCAGAGCGAAAGTCCCTTTTAAAAAATTTCTGAAGCTCACTCGAAGCAGGAAGAATGTCTTCTGATTTGGCCAAAAATATGACGAGTATTTTATATCACTTAAAATTTGAAGGATAAGTCTAGAGGGGGCCTTTTGTGGTCAACTGTTCAGCCAAACTTGCCGTTGAGTGTGTTTGTTGAAGTATCTCCACTTGGCCAGCAGAGGGCACTTTACACACCTCTGCACTGCTAGGGAGCAAATGCAGAAGATGCAGAAACACAGTGTTCACTCATTATCGGGAGAAGCCCTGCAGATTCCTTTGAAATTCACAAAAATATAGAAAATATGGACTGTACCACAGGGTTTCATTTGGAAAGTTATGAGAATGTGTGAAGTCAAATGGGGTGGGCGTACATATTGTCTGTCTGTTGCCTTGATTTTCCGCTGACTTCTCTTCCCTTCCTTTTTCCCTTTCCCAGCTCAAGAATGGTACTGGGCTGAACCCTTTTACAGGTAGGTCAGAACCCAATTTCAAGCCATTTGGTTGACTTTTATCTTTTCTAGTCTGTATTTACTCTTCTTTTCAAAAGCCTAAGGGCCTCGGAACCAAGGATAATGCTCCGTATCTCACTTAAGTGTAGAAATTACAGCTAATCTATCAGAAATGCTCTGAGGTGGAGCTGCCCCTGTAGGAAGTGGGCTGCATGGCTTCCATCCTCCTGGGAAGGATCTCGGAAAAACATTGTGCCCGTCTGGTTTTGGCAAAATCACTAGCCCGAGGCTGTGCTGTGGAGAGAAAAACACCAGTCTTTCTCTTGGTCGAAATAGAGTTGTTTACATCTGTTTTCTTAATCTTAAAAGATTAAGGCATCTTTTCTCATGGGGGCTACATCTACTAGCCTTTCTTAATAAGGCTTTAATTTTTGCAAAAGCATCATTGTTCTGGATACACACCCTGTGTCTCTTCCATTTTTATCTATTACGCTGGCTCCAGTTTAGTGTCGAAAAAGGTGAGAAAGGATTGTGTGGGTATGTGCTCACACAGTTTTTTAAGTAAACTTCTTTCATCCTTAGAGAAATATAACACTTAGTAAATACATTTTTTTTCATATAGTGTTAAATTAGCCTTTGTCTGCCTGCTGTTTCTCTTTCTGCCTCTGGCTCACTTTTGTTCTCAATTGTCCTAGAGTTGACAGATGAAGAGGGAATGAGGTCCTCCAGCAGCAATCCTTTGAGACGGAGGTGCCCTCAGTGAGTCCTCACCCAAAAAGGATCATAAACTTACTGGGTTAAGTCAACCTAATCATCCCTACGCTGCCGTGGGCTTTGTGTTTGCTCATGTGTTGTGTGTGTGTTAGCTGCACCATGTGAGTCCTTGTGCCATTTTCTCTTGTCTGTTGTTTTTCTTGATGACCCTGAGCTGTGGCTTCCTCCTCAGTCCCAACACTATTCCGTCTTCGCTGTTTTCCTCATCTTGCCGATGTAGGCCTCAAAGAAGAAGTGGCAGAAGAGCACAAGGTAGCTGAGGTACATGAGTGAGGACCAGAAGATGTTCTGAAAGTGAGAGTGACACTGGTCATGCTGCATCCAGTAGAAGACCAGGTAGTTAATGACGCAGCCCATCAGCATCTGAGTGATCTGGGACAAGGTGATGAACATGGCAAACTTCCGAGAGACCCGGAACCCGGCTGCTCGCAGGGCATAGTAAGAGTACATCACGGCGTGCACGCCATAGTTCATGGTCATGAACCAGCCACCCCCGGCGACCATGTCCTTGTAGGAGTACCAGGAGTACAGGAGCACAGTGATGTGGTGGTACCAGTGCAGGAAGATGAGCTTCTGCTTCCTCAGGATGATGAATATCGTGTCTCCTGAAAGACACAAAGGGAGAGGACGCGTATGAGCCCCTGACCATGACACAATGATAATTTACGTTTTTGCAAGAAGCTAGAGATCTTGAACTAGTACTTGAGAGTGAGATGGACTGGGTTAGACTCCTGGACTGATATTTACTAGCTGTGTGCCCTTGGGGAGGTTACCTATCCTCACTATTTTCCAGTTTCCTCATCTGGGAAAATGAGGATAATCACAGTAGCTTGGAATTGTCTGAGGATCAAATTAAATAGGATAATCAACATGCCTTCTTGGCACATGGCAAGTGCTCAATAAATATTACTTTCAGAAAGGTGTTTTACACAAAATCTTATTAATTTTTGATCTGGAAGGGACATTAGCAACCATGTGGCCTGGTTTCTAACTTGACCTACATTTTAGGAAATATCACCTGGAAGAGTCGAGTGACTTCTAGATCATTCATCAACCGAGGGAAGCAGATTGGAATGCCAGTGCCCAGCAAAATGTTCTTAAGCCTCTCCGTAGGAGTAAACCATTTTTCTTTGGTACATGACAAAAGGTACCCCTCAAAAACATATCTTTGTAAGCTTCCTATAAAGTGAAGCCCTGATACACAGTAGTTAGAAAACTAAAAGAAAAGGCAAAAACAGAAAAGGAGAACAAAAGTCATCTTCTACCACATTTGCTGAAAATGGTAACTAGAATATTTTATACCAATGAATCAAGTGATAAAAAAACTGAGAATGATACACATTTTGATGGAATTAACTTTGAAAAAGCTTTCCAAGATCTATCAAAAATTTTACTAACAATATCCCTTTGAAGAAAGAGACCACTGCTTCTAAGGGAGGAAATTTACATTATAGAAGCTGGAATTATGCTCAGGTAGGTAGATGCTATATATTTGAAATGATTCTCTGAAAAGTTTAGGGATTTTGAAAAATATAGTGTAGAACTCTTATGTAAAAATGGATGAAGAGCAAGCATAGTAACAAATATACCCAATCCCATTTACAAGTATGAAAAAAGGGAAGAGATGCTGGGACGTGGGATAGAAACGTTTACACAGGTCAACACTTCGTCTCTTCTCTATCTCTGTTCTCAGATATGGGAAAACCCCACACCCTTCACAATCTTTGGTGAACTCAAACTTGACTTCTTTTTGTATAAGAAGGAGAACCAGAAGGTCCCTCTTCTCATTCTGAAATTTAATTAAGCACAAAGGGAATTAGTACTTATCCTAGACTTATCCCTCATACTTCAAGGACACCCTAAAACGTCTAGCACTAGGGAAGGTCAAAGAACGCTGGACTTTGGAAAGATTTTAAGTTTCTGATGGCTGTGGTTGGGATACAGGTGGTGCCCCATTCCATCCAGCAGAAGCTGTTAATTTATTTCCCTGCTGAATTGTTAAACATTATCACTTCCTTTTTGTTTAGAACAGAAAAGGAAAGCTGCCAGTTGCTGCATTTCTGAACATATTATAAAATTTTCTCAGACGTCCTCTTCTCTCTTGTGACGTGCCTGCCGTATTATGCCTGTAAATGTCAGACAGACTGACAATGATTGATGGTGATGGTAACTCTCACTTGTATACTTAGGGGACAAAATTGGTGTCAGGAGACCTGAGATCTACTTCTTAGTGTTAAACTGTGCTATTTCTGTGTGCCTGTCACAGATCCACTATTCTGTGTAATTACTACTCTGTGCCTCCTTTCCTCTGTAGACTATAACGTAGGCACAATAATTCCAGCCTACCTTTGCTCACAGCAGAAAGAAGGTAGAAGTCCAAGGAATTATATGTTAAAAACAAATTTAGTCATTCATAATTAAGAAGATGTTGTTTATGAGTCTCCAAGCATGAACTAAAATATATATCCCACACAAAATCCAAACACATTGTAATAAAAGTCATTTGTCATAAAGTAATAAGCATTTCATCCTTTTAAATTCTTTAGATTTAATATCATCGCTTTTACATTAAAACTTTATTGTCTCTGAAGAATGATTTCAGTGTGAGGAGCGTAGTAGGGGACTAAGACAGACCATGTTAGAATGGGATACCCTGGAGTGGGAAGTGGAACCTACAACTCTGGAATCAAAAATTGCTTTGTGTTTTTCCCGTCTGAGTGGGGGTCTCAGGTTCAATCTGAGACACACTAGGCGTTTCCATTTATTATGGGGGTGTGGGGGCAAAGGACATGTCATGAGATCTTCAAAACAAAATTAATTTGAATTCAGTGAAGAATTCTTTTCACAACAGATATGCAGGATGGTAGATAGAGTAATGAAGATGAGC